ATAGAGAGTTAGAAACATCAATGAGAGAGAAACATTGATCAGCTGCCTCCTGCACACTCCCCACTGGGGATGTGCCCGCAACCAAGGTACATGCCCTTGACCAGAATCGAACCTGGGACCCTTCAGTCTGCAGGCCGACGCTCTATACACTGAGCCAAACCGGCTAGGGCTCCTGTTTGTTTTTATTTCCCTCAGAGAATCCTAATTTCTGATCTTCCCCCCAATCTGGGTCTCGAAGCCCCTTTTTCACTGAATTCTGAGGTGACACCAGGCCGCACCCTTGAAGCCTGTGTTTACCTGGGTTCCTGGATGCTCTACCCGCTGGCCCTAGGCTCGTCCTCCAGACAAGACTCACCTGGCACCACAGCAGGCCAGAGCTTGGAAGTCCCTGGCAGGTACCAAAGGGTGGTGATTGCTGATTGGCCAGGCAGGCTCAATTGAGAAGCCCTCTTACAAGTGAAGCAAATCTCAAGCCCCTCCCATTAGCAGACTTCTCACATCCTCAGTGTTCTACAGGTGGGGGCAGTCTGGCAAGTTCCCCAAGCCTCATTTTTTGAAAACTGAATTCTCAGCTCAGACAAGCTTTCCAAGTTGGGCTGTGCTCAAGATGTTCTGGAGCCGGGGGTGGGGTGGGAATGCCGAGTCTTCCGGCACTTAGATCCCCTCCCTATCATCCATCCTCACGTAGTCACTCAAGCCCTGAAGCTGTGGATGGCCAGACCCGAAAGCCTGGCAGGATCTGTGGACTTCTCAGCCACTCAGAGGTGGATGCACCCTGTGGGCTTCGGCCATGGCACGCAGAGACATCATGGTGAAGCCAACAGCAGTGGTGGGGAGCTGAGGCTGGCCTCCCTCCAGGGTCTTCTCAAACAGAGGGCTTTATCTGGGGTGTGGTCAGATGTTTGCCCAGGGGAAGACGCTCGAGGTGTGTGTGAGATGGGGAAGTGTGAGACGCCCTTTCCCAGGCACTATCCTCTTGGGGGCCAGCTTCTGGTGAGGGAGGGATTCTGGCTGGACTGTGATGAAAGCTGTAGCTCTCTCACCAGAAAAATGCACAACCTGTGCCTTCTTAAACACAACTTCATCTCTTTCATCAATGTCAGGAAATGATCCACAAACGCCAGGGTTAAGAAGCTCTGCTCCAGTCCTAGCCGGTTTGGCTCAGTGGATAGAGCATCGACTTGTGGACTAAAGGGTCCCAGGTTCGATTCCGGTCAAGGGCACATGCCCGGGTTGTGGGCTCAATCCCTAGTGGGGAGTGTACAAGAGGTAGCCAATCAATGATTCTCTCTCATCATTGATGTTTCTATCTCTCTCTCCCTCTTCCTTCCTCTCTGAAATTAAAAAAATATTTTTTAAAAAAGAAGCTCTGCTCCGTATTTTCCAAAGTGTGATATATACTCCACTGATGGTGCACAAGATGATTTTAGAGGGGTATGAGGACAAGCATTTCTTTTTTTAAAAAAATATATTTTATTGATTTTTTACAGAGAGGAAGGGAGAGAGATAGAGAGTTAGAAACATTGATAGGAGAGAAACATCAATCAGCTGTCTCCTGCACACCTCCCACCGGGGATGTGCCCACAACCAAGGTACATGCCCTTGACCAGAATCGAACCCGGGACCTTTCAGTCCACAGGCCGACGCTCTATCCACTGAGCCAAACCGGTTAGGGTGAGGACAAGCATTTCTTATTTTAATAGGTCAATATTTATTTTAAAGTGCGTAAAAACTGATTTCACTGATGGTATTGCCTACAATGACTAAATGGTAAGCTAAAAGGTGAGTCTAGTTACTGATAAACGTTAAATAGAATAAATAGTTCAAGTGGTATGCCAATTCAGAAAAAATGGGAACAGTGATTCATGGCTGATTCAAATCTGGGAAACAGTGCATATGGTCTTGGGAGGTTTGGACCTAAAGTTTTTTCCTTTCCTCTTTCTTTTTTTTTTTTAAATGCCTGTTTCAGCTCAATAAATGAACTTCATGCCCCACTGACAACGTGAGCTTCAGTTGGGAAAACACCCTACTGGCCCTTGAAGGTCAAGGTGAGAAGAGGGACTCTCACCTGCTCATGGTGGGCAGCTTCCCTTTCTCAAGTCCAAGGTCAAGACAACAGCAAACCTTGTCTCATCCCCACAGTATGCTGGCTCAAACGAGTTTGACTTGTTTTGTGTGTGTGCCTTCGTGTGAGTGTGAATGTGTGTGTAAGTGTGTACATAGATGGGTGTGGCAAAGTAGGGAACAGGGGAAACCAATGGGGCCAGGCCTTCTCCCTGGAGATTTCATAGAGCTCCAGGAAGCTTCCCCCCAAAGACCTCTAGAGGGGCAGCCATCAGAAATGAGCCCCAAACAACAGAGTGGGTTCATGACACTCCCCTTCCCCATCAACACCCCTCTTGGTCCTCACATTACAGGAGCTGGGCTCTCACCTCCTGGTCCAGCAGAAGGAGCGAAGGGAGGTATAGAAGGCAAGGAGGTTGCTAGAAGGGCTTAGCTAGACAGAAGAACAGAAATGTCTTGTCTCCACTCAGACCTTGAGAAGAGGGCTTCTCCCTGAAAGATTTCTCCTCGAATTACCTCTCTCCCTCAATTTAAAGACAACCCTATACCAGTTTCTAGAATAGACATCTGTAACAGAAGCTGAAAGCAACTAGAGTACTGGGTGAGCATGGCTGTTGGTCAAGTTTGGGCCACAGGTTTGTGTGTTGTTAGTTTTTAGTTTCCTTCCCACATCCTCAGGTTGGGGCAGATATAAGGATGCCTGCAACATGGTCACAGTGGGGCTCTTGAGGCAAGTGCAGGGGTAGGAAACAAATTTGGTCTCAGTATTCTCTGAGTGCAACCCCTGAGGGTTGCAAAGCAAAGCAAAATCAAGTCAGCAGAGCTGGAAGGTGGAGCCGTCTAGGGCAGCTGGCCAGGAGTGATGCTCATGATGGTACAGGGAGGAGAAGCCGCACCCTAAGGCGCCTGTTTGTAGACACAGCTACAACGTAGGGCGGCTCCCATGTGCCATCACAAGCCTAGAAGCCTCTAGTCTTCTGGTTCCAACCTCTCATTTCCTGCACTCAGGTTTAGTGATATCTATGGCTAAACCTTCTGCCCCTTCAGCATGACCTGGCACTAAACATCAACTTCCAAGATTAAATTGGGCTCCCACTGCAGAATGCCAACTCCTGGCACTGTACCTATGAAATCTCCCAAATTCAAACCCCCTCTCCCCTCAGTCACAGCCTCCACAGTGGCAGCTACCATGACCTCTCACCTCGGGCTATGCAGCAGCCCCCTGCCTGGTCTCCTCACACAACTTGGGCTCCCTCCATTTCTTCTGGCGCTGCAGCCAGGGTGCTCTTCCAAAGATGCAAATCTGACCATGCCACGCCCATGCTTGAATCCCTTCCCTGGCTTCTCATTGTTATTAGAATCAAGTTCCAAGACCACAGCCTAGGAGAATGTGGCTCCAGCTGATCTCTGGCCTCCTCCCACTTCCATCTCCTTGCCCATCAGCTTTAGTCACGTTAATTTTATCTCTGTCCCTTGACTCTGCCAAGGCCTTACCCTTCAGAGCCTTCACACGTGCTGTTCCCTCTGGCTGGAATGCTTTTCCCATCACACTTCACCTCTCAGTGTAAATGTCACTTTCTCAAGAAAGCTCTCCTTGAACCCCTCCCCTCCAGATTCATTATCTGCTAGTATCAGATAATTAAATAATCACTGTGCAATTAGTACATTCCTCCCCCTCCTCATTAGCCTGTTAGCTCCACAAAGACTGGTATTTGGTTTTACCCATTGGTGCCTCCCCAGTGCCTCACTCGGTGCTGCCAACTATTAAGGGATCAAGTGAGTGAGTGAATAGATGATTGAAAAATTAGGCAACATGGCTCAGTGAGGAGCTACCTGGAACAGTGAGAGGCAAGTCCTTTCATCCAAAGATCTAAACGCACTTGCTGGGGCCATCTTGAAAGCAAGAGCTAGCAGGAGGGAACAACTATTGCTTTATGTCCAAGCATGGTGGTCCAGGCATGATGTCACTAGTCCTACAGCCAGGCCTGGAGAAGGCCCAGGGAATCAGCTTGACCTCTGGCCTGAGCCTGCCTGGAGCCCTGGAATGGAGGCAGTATCAATTTTGGAATCAGATACACTTTTTGGAATCAGATACCTAGCCATTTGGCCTTGGATAAATTACAGAGCCACCTGAAGCCTCAGTTTCCGCATCCTAAAATGGGAATAACAAAACCTACTCCAGGCTCACCTAGAAGCTTAATTACCATCACGAACCTGTACTGCACAGCAGCATGCAGCGCAAAGAGTTAATCCCTTCTCCCCAGCGAACTGGCTTAGCCCTTTCATTTCACCCTTTTGGACACCCAAACCAGTAGGCAAGACAAGGAATGAAGGGAAGTTTGAGGGGTGGGAGGACACAGTCCGCCCCAGCCACTGCTCTGACCTTTCCACCCACCCAGAGGAGGCCTAGAGCAAGACTGGGGCAGCACCAGGGCATCCCGACTAGCTGAGAAGGGTGGCTAATCTATGCCTTTAGGAGCAGGAGTCGGGTGAGATGGGGAAGGGAGAACAGGTAAGCTTGGAAGCTATTATTCAAACCGAAATAAAGAGCAGCTGCAAACAGGGAGAGGCCAATAAAGGAACAGGAAGGAAAGACTGGGCAGACGAGTGGCTGAGAAAAGGTGGTCCAAGCTGTCAGATGGCAGAGGCTGCGGGAAGAACAGATAGGAAGGCGGGGGTCATTGGGTGGTGGGGAAGCAGCAGACAGAAGAGGGTCAGGGTTTTAGGGCTGGAGAGGAAGGGCAAACTCCTGGCGAGGAGGTCAGGGGCACTGACTTGCTTGCTGGAGAGAAGGGAGGAGAAGCAGAGGTGAGGACGGAGGTTGTCACCTTGAGTCCTCCTAGAGGGCAGGTGAACGGGGCTTGCTGGCGGGGAGTGGAGAGTTGGGGGAGGACAGACGAGGGGGGAGGGGTCTGTGACCCCGGGCCCCGCCGTACCTGGGGGTCTCCTTGCAGCTCGCCCACGTAGTACTGCTCGAGCCAGCGGCGCGCGTTGGCCGAGTGCCGGTGCGGAGGCCCGTCCAGGTCGTTGCTAACATCCTGGCCGGCCCGCGCCCGCAGCAGCTGCTCGCCCCCCGGGTGCTGCCGCAAGAAGCCGGTGAGGTCGTAGAGGCGAGCCCCGCAGCGGACCCAGCAAGCGCCGGCCGCCAGGCGCTGCTGGACCTCGGCGGGTGAGAAGGAGGCGGCGGGGGGCGGAGCGGGGACCATGGCGGGAGACCGGAGCTCGCAGCTCGAAGCCCGGGCGTCTGCTCGGCGGCCGCCAGCGCGCCTCTAACATGCCCCGAGCCGCGGACGCCCTGACGGGCCGGCCGCCACCGCACCTGCTCATTTGCATGCCGCGCTCCCATTGGCCACTCCGTGGGACACGGCCGGAGCCAGAGGGGCCCCCCGTCCCCATTGGCCGGGGGGGGAGCGGTAGACCCGAGCGGGGCGGGCCCGGCGCTGCCGGCCGCCGGCTCCGTGGCCCCGCGCAGGTAGAGGGCGCGCCCGCCCGCCAGGTGTGTCCCGTCGCAGGAGGAGAGCCAAGAGGGCGGGCACCTACAGACGGCGCAAGTCTTCCTGTCTCCGGTGACTGGACGGACGTTCTCGGTGGCCTGATCGCCGCTGGGATAACTCTTCTGCTGTTGCTCTATGGGAGAAAATTGCAGTTTTCCATCCTCCGGCTCCGGGAGGGGGCGGGGAGGCCGGAGTCGGGGCGAAGGCTAGATAGAGAAAGGCGAGTGAGGCACTGGCATCCGGCGCACAATTTATGAGGACGCCTCCACACTCAGTAATGACAATCTATAACTTTTTAAAAAATCCTCACCCGAGGATATGTTTTCCACTGATTTTAGAGAGAGGGGAACGGAAAGAGCGAGAGAGACAGAGACACAGGCAGAGAGAAACATGGATGGGTTGCCTTCCGCATGCAGTCGAACCTGCATCCTAGCTTTGTGCCCTGACCGAGAATCCAAGGCGACCTGCAGTGCGCAGGAGGAAGCTCCAACCAGCTGCGCCACACCAGCCAGGGCAATAGATAACATTTTAACGTAATATTTAAAAAATCGCTGTTGCACAACACTATGAATGTACTTAATGCCACTGGACTGTAAATTTTAAAATGATTAAAATGGTAAACTCTGTAATATGTATATTTTACCACAATAAAAATATATATTATAAATCATTTCTTTTTTTAAAAAAAATCATATTGGCAAACCACAGCCTGCAGGCTAGCTACCTGTTTCTGCAAATAAACTTTTATTGGATTTGGGACTAGTGAGGTGAGTGAGGCAGGATGGTGAATGTAAGGGGTGAGATCTTGTTTTTAATATATAAAGTTTTGGGATTTTGTTCATTATGAATTTTTTGCATTAATTTTGAATTTTTAAAATCCTGCATTAAAATATTCTTTATCTTGATTACGGAGGGGGGAGGGTGGTTGGCATGACCTTGGGTTTTGTACCCAGGACTCCTGCCTCACCTGCCGCTCACTCTGGCCTCACTCACCCCTCAGGAGAGAACAGAGGATGCTGTCTCCATTACACAGGGGAAAATAGGGACCAAACGGAGAAAAGCCCGCTGGTTATGCTAGATGGAAGGGGAAATGGTGTGCTCTCCAGTTTTATTTATAAGAGGGAAGACGTGCACACATCATTACTTGCCCAGCAATCGGAGATCTCCCTTGCCCTCGTGATTTGTAATCAAAGGACCCTGGTACCGAGGCTGCCCCATCCAGCTGGCCTTAGTCTGTCAGGAAAGGGTATTCTCAGGGCCACCCTTGTTTATGCTCTCCTGGGGCCAGTGCTGTGGGGAACATCAGCAATGCCCCAAATCAGGAGAGTTGCCTCTCCCTTCTCTCCCTTCCAGGCCTCTCCTGGCTCACCCTCAGGGAGTAGGCAAGAGTTGGGCTCAGTTTATGCATCTGCTATGGAACTGCTTCCCAACAGGCCTGGAAGCTTTAGGTGAAATGACAAATACATAGTCACCCTTACACCAATTCCACACCTACTCTGTTCCAAATACGTTGCATGTGCAAAAGCAGTCAAACACACACACCTGTAGACACCTCAGGTTCTTCCTGCTGACAGTATCTGTGGGACACCCCCATTTGGATTTCTCACCATTGCCTTAAACTCCCATTGTCTCAAGTCAACCAAGCAATTTAGCTAGTGATTCAGGATTGTAATACATTTCTTGCCATAGGTCATTTCATATTTGATATTAAAGATACAGTATAGCCCGGCTGGCGTGGCTCAGTGGTTGAGCGTCGACCTATGAATAGGAGGTTATGGTTCGATTCCCAGTCAGGGCACATGCCCGGGTTGTGGGCTTGATCCCTGGTTGATGATTCTCTGTCATCACTGATGTTTCTCTCTCTCTCTCTCTCTCTCTCTCTCTCTTGCTCTTCATCTCTCTTTCGCTCTGAAATCAATAAGAAATATATGTACATTTTAAAAGATACACTATATAAAGGTGTATGCATAAAACATTAATGGCAATCTTGTTTATAGACTAGAAGCAACCCAAATATTCCTCATTAGGGAGGACTAAATGGTATATTCAGACAGTTAAATACTATTTAGCCATTAGAAAGGATGAGATCGATTTATGTGTACTGATAGGAATAACCTCCAGAACATTGTAAATGGAAAACAACAAGAATGGTGTGTATCGTGTGCAACAATTAACTTGCTATTTCTAATTCTTTAATCCATATGAAGAAAAGTTTCTATAGCCTATATACCTAGGTATGCAGTTGTTGGGTCATAAGATATGCAAGTATCCCATTTACAAGAAACTGTACTGTAAATCAACTTCTAAGTGGCTATACTGTTTTACACCCCATGAAAGATGTATGAACATCCCTAGCCCTAAGTCTGGAAACAAGGCAAAGACACCCATTCTCATCACTTATATTCAACATTGTGTCAGAGGTCCTACCAGTGATGCAAGGCAAAACAAAAGAAATGAAAGGCATACAGAGAAGAATCAAAGGCTTAAAATATCCTCGACTTACAGGTTATATGACTGTTTACATAGAAAAATCTCAAATAATTTGAAAGCAACTAGAACTAATAAGTGAATGTAGCAAGTGCACAGGATCCAAGGTCAAAATTCAAAAGCCAGTTGTATTTTAATTACTAGCAGCAAACAAATGGAAAATAAAAAATTTATTTTAAATATGTATTTTATTGATTTTAGAGAGTGAGGAAGGGAGAGAGAGAGAGAGAGAGAGAGAGAGAGAGAGAGAGAGAGAGAGAGAAACATCAATGTGAGAAAGAAACATCGATCAGCTGCCTCCCACAGGCAGGAGATCAAACCCTCAACCTGGGCATGTGCCCTGACCAGGAATTGAACTAGTGACCCTTTGGTGCATGGGATGACGCTCAACCAACTGAGCCACACTGGCCAGGGCAAGGGAAATGAAAAATTTTAAATTCCACTTATAATAATGTCAAAAGCATAACAGGTGAAAATAAATGTGAAACATCCAAGATGTCTAGCTGAGAAATTAAAGAATATCTAAATAAAGAGTTCATGGCTATATCAAGTTCCAAGGTCATGGATTAGATGACTCAATATTAAGACCTCAAATCTTCCAATTAATCTACAAATTCAACACAATCCCAATTATAATACCACTAGGTTTGTTGAGAGTTTTTAAAGAAATTGATAAACTATTATGTAATTGAAAGTTACTAAGAAAATATAACTTAAATGTTCTCACCAAAAAGAAAAGAAATTGATGAATGACTTCTAAAATTTATATGGAAATATAAAGGACCTAGACTGTTCAAAGCAATATTGAGAAACAACAAAGTTGCAGGACTTATACTTCCTGACTTCACGAGTTAATACATAGAAAACTACATATTCAAGACAGTGTGGTCCTCACAGAAAAACCAACAAATAGATTAATCATTATCATATATTAATGGGACAAAATAGAGTCCAGAAATAGACCCCCCACACATAAGGTCATTCTGTTCTTTTATGGACATATAATTTATATACAGTAAAATTTGGCCTTTTAAATGTATAGTTATATGAGTTTGGGGGCATCTATACTGTTGTGAAGATTGGGTTTGTCTCTCTCTTTGCCAATACTACATTGTTTTTATATTATCTATCTATCTATCTATCTATCTATCTATCTATCTATCTATCTATATACATATATATATAAAAGCCTAAGCGACTGTTACAACCAGTCGACCGAATGACCGGTTGACCAGTCACTATGATGCATACTGACTACCAGAGGGCAGATGCTCAATGCAGGAGCTGTTCTCTGGTGGTCAGTGTGCTCCCACAGCCAACCTCCCGCGGCCGGCCAACCGCCCTCGGTCCCTCCCCCCAGCCGGCCCCAATCGGCTGATTGGGACTGGGTGAGACGACCCTGATGGGCCCCGATCGCCGCGCCAGGCCGAGGAACCCCACCTGTGC